TCAAGAAATTGAAGTATGCCCTGACAGACTATGAAGTCCTCAAACTTCCGGACCGTGAGCAACCCTTTATTGTGACCACTGACGCCAACTAATACGGCATAGGCGCGGTGCTTGCGCAAGAGGGGAAAAAGTTGAGGCCCATCGAGTATATAAGCAAAAAGATGCCATCTCATAAATTAGCGAAGTCCACGCATGAGCGGGAGCTCTATGCCCTCTATAGAGCGCTGGTCCACTGCAGACATTATCTCCTAGGCAGATTCTTCTATGTGAGATCTGACGATGAGACTTTGCGCTCGATCAAGACACAGCCTGTACTCTCAGACGCACTCAAGGTGGATTCAAGTGATAGACATGTATGACTATCAACTTGACCCAATCAAGGGAGAGTATAATAAGGTGGCTGATGCACTATCGTGTAGGGCAAACTATCTGGGCGCGCTAGTAACTGAGTTTGAGATATCTGAAGATGTAACTTGATCTTTGGTGGAAGCCTATTGGGAAGACGCAGTTATATCAGCAATCATTCGTAATTTAGAAGCTAAAGATAAAGTAACTTCTGAAGAAATTATGGTGGTCAATGGCTCGTTGTTCCTTGAGAAGGCTGGGAATAAAAGACTGTGTTCCAGATAGGGAATCTTTGCATAATTTGTTTTTAGGAGAGTGTCAAGATGCAACTGGGCATTTTGGTTTTAAGAAAACATCTACAATGATGAATGATGCAAAATGGTATGTGGAAACTTGTCACGTTTGTCAACGCTACAAGCCTAGGACACAGGCACCGTTTGGGCTGATCAAGCCCCTGCCTATCCCCACTGGACCCAGTCAGAGTGTGTCCATGGACCTCATGGATACTCTTGTGACCAGCAAGAGCGGGAAAAGAGACATCTTCGTCATTGTAGATAGATTCACCAACTAGACTAATCGCTATGCCAGAAACCACTAAAACTGACTACGTCATCAAGTTGTTTATGGACAATTGGGTACGCAATTTTGGACTCCCTACGTCTATTGTAAGCGATAGGGATGTGAGATTCACCAGTGAAGTGTGGCAATCAACAGCCCAACAGATGGGCACCCAACTTCAAATGAAAGGGAATCACCCTGAGTCAAACGACCAGGCAGAACAAATGAACCGAGTAGTGCAGCACCTGCTTCGGCATTACATCAAGCCAAGTCAGGATGACTGGTACGGGAAACTACCTCTCATCGCCAGCCTATACAACAACGTTGTGCACAGCATTACTGGTATGACTCCCAACCGACTGCATCTTGTTGGAAGCCCATAACTGCTTGACTTTCTGCTACCTGAGAAGCAGCCAATTGCAACACCTGGCAGCATAGAATTTGCTGTCAAGTATGAACAGATGCTACAGCAGGCCGTTGAACACATTAGGAAGTACCAAGATGCTATGATTGCATCTGAGAACAAACACAGACGGCCTTCTAATTTTCAGGTAGGGGACAGAGTCTGGGTTAAGTCGTCTAAACTGGGTCAGGAGTTAAAAATTTCACGAAAATTCATGCCTCAGTATTTCGGCCCCTGGGAGGTCCTAGACATAGTTGGGGATCAGATAGACGGACCTTCCTACGTGATTCGCATCCCTGCTCACTTGCGCACGCACCCAGGCTTTCACGCTTCAAAGCTGGCACCTTTTGTAGAGACTGCATAGTTTTCCTCCAGACGATCAATGCTGAGCCCAACCATGGATGGCAAAGTCAACATCGACGAAATCGTGGAGCACCGGGTAATGCCAGTGCCTAAACCTCCCGGTAGAGGCCGACCTCCAAAACCAAGGATGCAGTCGTGTCAGATTCAGACACCACACTAATCCCAGTGAAGATCGGTGGTTTACCAGAGAAGAACTCCAGCAAACAGCTCCCCAAGTGATTGCAGGCTACGAAAGAGGACTAAAGGGAAAGGAGCCTGCAGATTCAAGGACTTCTCAGGGGACTATCGAAGTAAAGGAGGGAATGTGAGGATTTGGCTCCTCGGCAGGCCAAAGGGGCCCCTTATACAAGTGAGCCCGCCCTAAGTGAAGGCGGGCCTAACAAATCACGAGAGGCCCAATGCTGTCAATTTCGTATTTGGGGTTCAGGCAGTTGTGTCGCGTCAGTTGGTTGAGGGAACCCAGGTCCCGTGCAGCAAAGACTTTCCACGGCCTTCTAGGCCTTTTCTGAAAGGCAGGCCCTTGGCCACATGTGCAGCAATATACACAGAGAGTTGGGAGGTGCAACCGAATGAGGCCCCGCAGCAGCTACAGAGGCCCAGCTACCTGGGGCCTACCGGAAGCTTCTGGACGCAGGCCGAGCCCAGCCAGGCCGCAGGCCAGGCCAGACTTTCCCATATTGGAAAGAGCTCGCTGCCTGGCAATTCATTCGGGCACTTGCCAGTTTGCGGCAGCACTGTTGGAGTGGATGCTCACGGGCCGCTGCTAGCGCTGGGGCACGGTGCTATGCACGTGCGGTCGTGTGGGAAGAAGGGCGCTGCTGAGGGCAGCGCCATAGCCCAGCTTCCATAGCTGGCTGGGCTTGGACGAACAGCAAGGCGCAGTTGTGGTCTTCGGGTGTATAGAGAGAAGACAAGGGAGAAAGACGACGGAGAGAGAGAGAGAGAGAGAGAGATGAGGATGAGGATGTGAGGGTTCATACCTGGTGTTGGCGATGGTCTACATTGGGCGACATCTTCATGTACTTCGGTGGCTGCTGACGTCAACAGTTGCATTGTCAATTCATAGGGAGATAGTAGCTGTGTGGGGAGTAGTCTGGGCGCTGAGCGCCAAGTACGGGGAAGGGCCTGGACCCTTATGTTGGTGATGACGAGAGTAAGCTCTCATTGACATTCGGTTTCAGTGTTTCGATTCTCCATTGGTGTAACATTGGTGCAATGCTGCTTTCTGCACACTGTGAGACTTTCTGGCTTTCAATGTGATCCTGTAATCTGTATTCTGTCATCTCGCTATTGATCATTTTCCTTGCATTTTTTTTTTCTAAATATTTCTATATTCGCGTTCGGAGGGTTTTGGCGCTCGTTCGCGTTCGCTCGCGAATAACCACGATGCTACACAGGTTTTGACCGTGAAATGCTCGTCGCACCGATTTGGTGTATTTGTTTGCCACTCTGCCACTTATGGGCCAACAGAAAAGTACTCCAACTGCAGCGCTTTTTCACGCTCAGAACAATGTACAGAAAAATCTGAAAATTCGATTTGGTCGTGATATTTCAAGGAAAGATATCAGATTTAATTTCATTTAAATAAATAAAAATGTTTAGGCTGTGAAATAATCGTCGCACAATTCGGCGCGAATCCAATTTTCGCCACTCTACCTGTTCTTCACACTATGCTACCGGTAGCCCTCATGAACTTGTGCTACCGGTCCCCTGAATATTTTAGTGGCGGGGGGAGTGGTGGTTTAAACCACCAGCACATTTGCCAGCCATTTTTCTCCAACGCGGCGTGCGTATGGCCGCAAGTTTTGGGGGTCAGCCTACCAGAGCAAAATGGCCGGCGGCGCCAGCCAAAAGGTGGCCTGCGCTGGTTTGTTTTTCCTTTGGGGTGCAAGGCGTTTCCAGCCTCGTCACGCAAGGGTCAAAGTACTGGTGGTTTAGTGATTCCTTCCAGAAAGTGAGTCCGGTACCCCTTCTAATTGGAGGGGCATTACTGTGCCTTCCGTTCGCCAGGATTTGCTCTTCATCACCGAGAAGGACCCAGACACATTGATAGAAGTAGTCTATGATAGAGGAATACAACCAGCTATGGAAGGAATACAACCAGCTATAGAAAGAATACAACAAGCTATGGAAGGAATACGACCAGCTAGGGAAGGAATATTGACCAGCCATGGAAGGAATGCGACCATGGGAAGGAATACGACCGCTATGGAAGGCATACGACCAGCTATGGAAGGAATACGACCGCTACGGAAGGAATACGACAGCTATGAAAGGAATACGACCAGCTATGGAAGGAATATGGCAGCTGTCGTATTCTCTCCATAGAAGTGACCTCCACGGGAGGCTTGGGAGTGCGGAAGGTGATTAATTTTAGAATCCATTTGTTTGAAGAGCTTCGATCTGGGTTGTAGGGTCCAATACTCTTACCGGTAGCCCTCTCTGACGATCCTTATGGGTCATGTAATTGCAATCTACCTTAACAATAAATATTTGCATAGAGGGGTCTAAGGTCCACAAATATGCTGTTGCTTTTGTTTTAGTTCTTTCAGGGTGTTTGCTTCTGCGGCCCAGAAGGCCGCTACGTACTGAATCATTGCGAAGATGGTGGAATTTACTATTTAGAAGCGACACTCTGCTGTGTAGAGAAGGGTAAATGCTGGCCCGAGCTCCTAGTCTATCTTTCATGCTTGTTAGTTGACTGGCTACCATTGAGCTCGCTGGTCCATGTTCAGTCATCTGTAGATCCGAGAATATTATCAGATCCTTAGGTCTTGCTTTCCTCTTCTGCCCTTGCCTTATATACCACTCGTCATCTATGTTGCTCACTGTGAACCTCTCCTCTTGCAGTCAGGTCAGGACTGTTAGGGTCTGTCCGCAGGGAAAAACTGCCTGTGGGTCCCCCTATGCCTTTTTTTTTTTTTACTCGCTCCTTCATGCTTTTCCCTCCTTCTCTAAAACTGCCCTCCGCATTACGTAGCACCCCCTGCCATTTGCCTCATCGCTGAATCCGTCCCCCTCTTCCCTTGACACATGGCACCACCCTGCGGTGGCGCTCGAGCATGCCGCGCGTTCCCCTCCCTCCTATCTGACTTGGTAGGGGCGCCGTCGATCTCAGCTGGAGCACTTCCGCAGGTCCACATCTCAGCTGGAGCACTTCCGCCGTCGTTGCTTCAAGATGTAGGATGTGCTAACCAGTACGGCCCACTATGCTATGCAAAAGGAAACCTGTTCTCCTGCTGCTCGAGTCTTTTTTTTTTTTTTTTTTAACCGAGCCTACCCCTTGCTTGCACGTCTGTTTTGTTTGGCCTTCTATATCAATCTTTCTCAGGTTGAAAATACGCTGAAGGAACAAATACTGTCACACGGGAACTTGGTCGAATATGCGGAGAGATTGCAGCGGGAAGTGTTCGGTTTGGAGGAGTTTTCAGCGACATATCCAACGGAGCCTCTCCACGCTCCAGCAGCAGTGGCTGGGCGTGGAAGTGGAGCGGGCCCTTCGAGAACTGCTGGTGGTGAGCAACAAGGGGCGGCCACTGAAGCGAAGAGTCAGAAGAAGCAGAAGAAGCAGAGATCAGAGAAGGAGGCCAAGTTTCGGCGCAGGGCGAAGTACTTCGTAATAGGCCAGATTGCATCAATGCTTACGTTTCTTCTCTTCTCCAGTGTTGAGGTGGAGGAGGAAGAAATGGACCACAACGATGATGACGAAATGGATGACTAAGAAGCTGTGCATTTTGTGTCATAGGAGAAATTTGCATTTACATTACAGGTGATCTCAGTTGTTCTCTTCTTTGCCATCCCCCCTCCGGCCCTCGCCCCCCTCCCCCGTCCTCCTGGGCAACCATGCTCTCTATGTTAGCAATAGTAGAGATTTCTGTGTACAAGCTCACGACCCATAGCTTTTGTGGAGCAGGTGACTTGGACACAAACCGCACTGGATGTGCTTTTGCGAATGCTTGGCATATGGCAAAGACAGCGTCGTCGTCCCACTGAAGTTGTGAGCACCGCTGTGGTAGTGCCTGTCAGTCAATGTGTCGTGCAAAGAGGCATTCTCGAAATCCTAAGGAATCGTCACTGCAAAGTCTGGCTTTTCTGAGGTATAATCTTGTTGAGGAAGAGGAGTAGCGTCTGTGTTGCAAAGGCCATAAACATATTCATTCGGCACGAAATGAGGGGGTAAAAGCCAAGAAGACTGAAAGAAGTACATCGTTGCTGCATCGTGAACTCTCCCACTGCACATCACAAAATGGCCACTAAGTGAGACCTGCATCATTGCTGAACCGTGAACTCTTCCACTCCACATCGTTGGTGCATCGTGAACTCTTCCACATCAGCTGGAATGGTGAGAGCACCATGGAGAAAGGGTTGTAACTCCTCGGCATTCCGTGCCAGCTCATAAATGATTGTGCAGCGAAGTTACCAGGCAGCAAATGGCTGCACCACATGTTTGCTTGACCAGGTTTGACAGCACCAGATGTATTTGACTGTTTCTTTACTGGTGAGCTTCTGCGACTTAGAGCTGCTGAAGGTATAGAGGACCAGTGTTCTATCTGGATGGGGCTCTGTGTGTGTGTGCGTGAAAGAGAGTTAGCGGGCAAGAGAGGCCGGGTTGGGCACAGAGAGAGAGAGAGAGAGAGAGAGAGAGAGAGAGAGAGAGAGAGAGAGAGAGAGAGAGAGAGAGAGAGAGAGAGAGAGAGAGTCAGATTTGGTGGTTGGGGAAACGCGTGAAAGCTAGTGAAGGAGGCTTGAAGAAGAATCTGGCAGTGCTGCATACTAGCAGCAGCAGAGTATGTGGCTACGTTTTACATGAATGTATGGTAAGGCTCAAAGGTAGCCCGGCTACTCGGGCGATTTTGTTCATGCACCGTGATACAGGAGATAACCTGATTTGTTGTGTTTGGTACAACCTCAACTTTTGTCACCTCTTCATACGTTCCAGCCAGTGATTGCAGCAAGAGAAAAACGAATCACACAATGAACGTCAACTTTTGTCACCTCTTCATACGTTCCAGCCAGTGATTGCAGCAAGAGAAAAACGAATCGGACAATGTTGAGTCATTGTCGCATGATCTGGAGTATGAATGGCATGCATGGCGGGCTAGTCTAGTGTAGTCTAGTCTAGCCTACGGCCTCCTCTGGTCTTGTCTAATCTAGTCCGCTCCACCCTAGCAGTCTGGGTTATAGTTGAGCAAACGATCCTGTAGCATATAGCCTAGACTAGTCTGGTTTAGCCCACCAGACTAGGCTATACTCTATTGCCCGTTGTGGTCTGGTTCTGTGCACTTTTACACCACCAGTACATCTGGAGAATTCGAAGGAGCCTCTCTGAAAAGTTAGGGGACGTGGGACATGGCCGGCTGGGGGCGGGTGGAATTTTTTTTTTTGGTTCAATGCTGGGCCTGGTGCCACTCACGGCCCTTTGGACGCCCCTGTCCTGAGCCCCCGAAATTTTAGGAGAGGCTCAATCGGATTCTCAACGTGGCTGGGGCGATGTACTGGTGGTTTAAGTCTAGTATTTGTCTAGTCTGCCCAGTCTATTACTCTCTTGTCTATTCGTTTCGAGTCTCTAGTCCATTCTCGTTTCCAGTCCATTCTAAATCTTATTTAGTCAGCCTGGTATAACGTCTAGGCTATTCCCGGTACGAATGTTGCCTAGTAGTACTTTATTTAGCAGAGGACCCAAGTTGAAGCAAAACTGTCTTCACCTGACTGGAACGCCCGGTCATTCTATCTGTGTTTGGGGCAAGTTGCAGTCTAGATCCAGCAATCGGATTCTCAACATGGCTGGGGCGATGTACTGGTGGTTTAAGTCTAGTATTGTCTAGTCTGCCCAGTCTATTCCTTTCTTGTCTATTCGATTCGAGTCTCTAGTCTATTCTCGTCTCCAGTCCAGTCTAAATCTTATTTAGTCAGCCTGGTATAATGTCTAGGCTATTCTAGCCCGGTACGAATGTAGCCTAGTAGTACTTTATTTAGCAGAGGACCCAAGTTGAAGCAATCCTGTCTTCACCTGAATGGAACGCCCGGTCATTTTATCTGTATTTGGGGCAAGTTGCAGTCTAGATCCAGCAATAATGACCAAGTGTTTTATCGGGGGAAGAGAGTAGTAGTGCCATGATCGCATGTTCACTTGCAGAGTTTCTCTGTCCCAGTCCTTTTTGTCTATATCTGTGATCTGTAGCAACAAAAAATCATAATAATGATCTACATCTATCTACATCTACATCTACAATACTATAGAAATCACTAACGTCATATCGCACGGCCCAGGTTGCGGGCCGATCTCCACCCACGGACGGCCCAGATCGCAGGCCGATAAGAAATGTTTCTGATCAGCCTGTGATCTGGGCCGTCCGCTGGTGGTGATCGGCCTGCAATCTCAGGAAAGGGTACCGGTTGGTCTCAAACGGCCCACAAACGACCTTGTTTTCACCTACTCACTACTCCCTCGCCTACTCCCACCTGCTTGACGTGCTTAGTCCCGCCTGCACTCTCTCTCTCTCTCTCTCTCTCTCTCTCTCTCTCTCTCTCTCTCTCTCTCTCTCT